CCCCAGCCAGCCATGGGAGTTGAAGTCCACTCATCTTAAAGTGGCCAAGTTTGTATAGTATAGTTTACACTATACTATACAATAGTGAAATAAACATAGTATTTTAATTAAAGCTAGTGTTTGATAGAAGAAATAGTAGTTCACACTTCAGCCTGAAACAACTGTAGACCTAGGATTTTCCAGACTCAAAACCCCTTATTTTGGAACTGGCTCTCAGATATCACTTGGCTGATGCAGATTCTTTACTGCAGACAAGAATGAAGCCACCCAAAACTGAAGATCTGCCTACTATAAATACAAGTGTGTGTGTGTGAGAGAGAGAATGTGTCAGTATTCCACATATCAAATTTTGAGCTTTTCCATCCTACCTTTGTGAGGTAACAGATATTTGGCCTTCTCTTCAAGGTCATGGAAGGCAGCTGGGATTTATTAATATAATGGTTTTCATTAGACTAAAAATCACTGGTCCTTGCTATGTTAGTTTTATCCCTAACTGTCCTAGTACATTTGTTACTGTCTTGAAACAACACTTGAAAGATATGTATTTATTGGAATGAATAGTTACCTCTGTAGTGATCAAAGTTTCTTCTTGAGTTTGCCCATTACTACATATATGATGAAGAACCTACGTTTCAAAATGTTTTGGGAATGTGATTTGTACATTAATTCTAGTTTATTAGTTTTAAACAGAACAGGCTAATATAGTCAACACAAAATGCTGAACCAAGAAAAGGAGAGATTCTCACAGGTAAGTCACCAACTCTGAGTCAATTGATCTCATAGAGTAATTCCATTTATTAAATTGGGTGTGAGAAATATGAAGATTGTTTGGAAGAAAGGTCGGATGTAAGTATAATAGATCTCAGTTTTAAGAGTGATGATTTTCTATTGGTACTCAGAACCTTAAATAGTGAAAAGTAGTTTATTTGCTAAGAAATAAGTTTTAAAAAATAAAATATTAGACCAGATCCATGACTAAATAGTCCTTTGATTCCAGCATGTCTGCTGTATGACTGACTACATCTTCTGCTTTTCTGTTCTCTTTCCTCTATGTATGGTGGGTTCTTTTTGTTCTGCTTCGTAATACCATTTCCTAGATGATTTACAGTTTTCTGTTTTTCTCAGTGACACAGAAACAAAGTATACACTGTAGTAAAACTCCACAGCTAAGAAAAGTATCTACAATTTCCATTTTTGGTGGTTCAGTACTCATTAAATCAGACCAAACTTCCCTGCATGATCTTTCTCTTTCTAGATGTATTAGACTACAATAACCATGTTTAATGTTCAGCACAAAGAAACCTAGGATGATTTGGGTTGACTGTTCTAGTCCAACATATCCAGAGACCAGTTTGAGAAAGGCTGCAAATTAAACCATGGTGAATGACTTTGTGCCGTGTTTCCCCCATCACCCCATACCATGTGTTGTAAATTGATAAATTACATGCTGACAACATACATCTCTTTCTGGCAAGCTAACAGTTAAAGAGTCCCTAGTGAAGGGCTTCTTCTAGCTCAATGTTTCTCAAACTCAGCAACTTGGCAACTTTAAGATGTATGGACTTCAACTTCCAGAAAGTCTGGCTGGGGAATTCTGGGGGTTGAAGTCCACATATCTTCAAGTTGCCAAGTTTGAGAAACACTGCTCTAGCTGCTAATGTATCCACTGTGGTTTAAATTTACCTAGTATGCTGTGATTGCAGATGCAATAATGGATTTATGAGCTAATTTCCCCAGCATAATTTATTCTCTCTCTTAATTCTTCTTTCTACTCTTCAGCTAATGCAGGTTATAAAATAATGTATTTCCCTCACTCACCTCACCATATAACATTCCAACTATTTAAAAGGACAGTCCCAATTTATACAGGCTTGTGCTTGTCCTTATCAGTTATTTGATTTAGTGTAAGGCCAGGATAGGCCATAATTCCCAGCATGTGTGTAAGGATTGGGTATGATTATATAGCAGTGGTGCACCTCCATTCCCAGAAAATAAATATTATGCAGATAGTTTCTTACCTGCCTATTTACAAAGCTGATTCCAGTGTCCTAATACAGGTAATAGAAGGCAGTGTTTCACAGTCTAGACACTCTCCAACGTACATTTACATAGGAACTGTCCCACTAAAATTCTGGAACTTACGATCAAATATATTTGCATAAGGCTATGGTCTTAAAGATAAAAGCACATCTGAGGTCCTGGATCTTTGCAAGATTATGAAAATAAGAGTGGAATATATGTAGCATCTTTGTGAAAGTTGAATAGGATAGTAGAAACCCAAAAGGCATTTGACACTTGCTGCCATAGTCTTTTATTCACTCACTTTTTGTGGCTTATTGCATCTTGTGGTTCTCCTTGGGGAAAAGTAATTCTTAACGTGATGTGGTTGCAAGAAAGGTAAATGCAGTTTTAGGCTGCATCAACTGAAATATTGTTTCCAAATCATCGGAAGACACAGCTCTACTAGTCTGTTTTTTTAA